TTTTATTTAGTCGAACGGTGCTTGAAATTCATATATATATATGAGTACGCATGTATAAAAGTGTGCACACCCTCATTTGACAATTTGCATACAACAATTAAATTATGAATTCCAACACATAATGCTTATAGAAAAGTAAGAAACAAATAAAATAAATAAATAAATAAACACAATGTTGTAGTTTTTATTAATGTTTATTAAAAGACATCTTAATTAAAGTGAATGTCTGCTCATGCCATTCGATATAGAAAGGAGTATGTATGTATTTTACACTACATTTTCTGCTGCAATTCTCTACGAAAATTATTATCTTTTATTCTGTTTTTAAGAGTCACCTGCATGATTCAAGTCAAAACTGCTCTTAAGCTGTCACTCAAACAAGTTTTAACTAGTCGAGAACAACAACAACAGCAGACTTTATCGTTTTCATAAACCACACTCTGAGTGGTTATAGTTGGCTTTTTTCGCCAAAAGTGTTAGGTCAGAAAACATTCAAGCCAAGCGGGTAGGGAAGTACACATAACAAAATATAGTATTGTAGTAGTTGAATTAAAAAAACAACAAAATCTATTGTTTCAAACAAATTTGACAAATCGATTAACTCCAACAGTCACATAAGAAACGTAACATTACTGCCGAATATTTGTTGGCTATTCTTTCTTATTAATTTTTTATACCGTTAGATGAAAGCTATATCGGCAATTATGCATTCTACATCATCAGTGAGCGCCTCATATATTATTATATGATTGAAAATTATATTTATTAATTGAAACAATTGATTTTGATATCACAATCAGCAAGTGTACAGCCGAGATATGCAGACATATGGATGTACTAAGTATGTATGCATCTATGTGTGTAGTTGGTGTTCACGTTAGAGTACCATTTACAATTAAATTGTACTCATCGATGCTTAAATGTAACAAGATAATTTGAAATTGGCTTACAACTGTGATGTAGTGGAAGCACAATCATTATACATATATGTATTTAGGTATATGCAACAAGTGGTGAAACATTTTTTACAAACAAAGGTACAAAATACAATTTAATAAAAATTCTAAAAGTAAAATTTTTTTATAATAAAATTGAGGCAACCTCTGCTTTGCAATCATTGTTTGTTCGCAATAAAAGTATTTACTTCTTTGAATAAATATTTTTTATAGTTTTATTTTTACACTTTTAAATAAATATGATTCTTACTGCATAATAATGTAGTTAAAGGTCAAGCTCATTTTGAGAATTGCCTTTTTTTATATTTCAATATTTGACTGCGATAGATTTCGATATATACATATTTTTTAGATTTAAATGATATTACACACCATTAACGATTAATTCAGCAAATAATAGTTCTATAATAACTATTACCGATTATTATCGCTTATTATTCAATAAAAACGATTAATCAAAGTCATCAATTTTCAGCCATAATGTCTCCCTCTAGAAAGTTTATTTATTAAATATTTATTTTCAATCAGAATTAGAACTGAAATTGCTTAAATGCAATATTTATTATTCGACAACAGGTTTGTGCTATTAATTTTTAATTTGTAAAGTGTTATCTTCATAAACATAACAAATTTATTGTTTTGAATCTTAGAATTTCATAACTGAACAAATCGAGTATATACCGATTTCGATAACTGAACAGTACAGTGCCAAATACTTCTGCGTAACTAATTTTCTTGATTTATTTCAAAAACAGACAGACAGACGAACAAAAGGAGATGGCTAAATCAACTCAAACATAAATTTTAAGAAATTTTGGTGGGTCTGTCACTTAGTCCTCTGTTATCTTCAAGAAAGGTAGAAAAGAGGTTTCGAAAAATGCATTTTTTTTTTCTTAAATTTATTCTAAAACGATCCAAGAATATGTCTTCAAAACTTCAGTGGCCAATTCTAAATTTTTTTAAAAGCCAGAGCAATTTTAGCGGCCGAGCGTTGACCAGGTTCGAATACTCGGACAAAACTTTGAAGCGCGTTTTTTCGAGTTTTCATTTTTACAAGTCCGAGAAAACGGTGCCGATGACAGCAAAATGAATACACATATGAACAATCGATTCGAATCGACCAAAAATCAAAGTGACCTAGTTTCAGTATTAAATTATCTTCTATTTGAACTAAAAAATTTGGGCAAAATTATTATTTAAACTATTTTGTTTTGCATATTTTTCAAAAAAGTGAATTTTTTTTCAAACTTTGAAGCTGAAAATTTCATTTCTTCGGTTCATCTTTAGTTCATATAGAAGAGACAATTATAAACATTTAAAATAAAAAATTGACTCGACTCTCTCAGAAGCATCGCACGACCTCCATCTTCGACACAGTTTCACGAGTTCAGGCTGCAGCAGCTCCAGAAAACTCGTCACAACATTGTAAAATTCCCTAATTTTTTGATACTAAAAATAGTTTTTTGAAGCTTAAATACCAAAATAATCCCCTTCCCTTTCAGAAAAAACTTATTTTGGGATCTAAAGGAGACTACTAACTTAGGTAAATTGAAAACAACAAAAGTAATAAAATTCATTTAAAAGAGACAGAAACTAGATAAATAAAGGCGGTGCAAAAAGAAGACCGTTTTACGATCGACAGAAAAATGCGCTGCTTATGCTCCAACAGTCAGTTCGATTACAATCAGCGATATCCTCCGCTACCTTCTTCAATAGCTGGGCGATTGGAGTATATATATATATATATTATATATATATATATCGCAAATATATATATATATCGCAGTACAAGATGACTACCAGTAACTTTTCCTGGGTACATCAGGAAAGGAGTTCACGACTTAAAGGACTCAATTCAGACCATTGCCAATCATCGCGAGTTCGTTAAGAACTTCATAAACTCTCTTTACATGAACGGTGTACATGGAATTCAATCACGATAAGCACTGGTACAATTAAATTGCTACCTATCCAAACGTGATCATTTGATCCCGATATATATGCCTAATGTATGTCGTGCATGTCCTGTAACCCGCAATACTAATCATCTCTTTTGCAACTTAAAGCAATTCATCTAACACACCACTTCCTCTGCTACGTAGCCATGAACCAGATCGTTTGCTGGACCTCTGGTTAGATGATCTTGATTACCTGGCCGCTACAACAACAACAACAATATAAAGCAATTGGATTTTGAAAAAAAAAAATGTGCTCCGTTTGCCCAACGACAATGATAGTATAGCAGTGATATTCACCTACAGTGACATTTTTGCTTTCAGTCGCTTATGCCTGCTGTAAGAGGTGACTAAAATGCAATAGTTTCCGCGACAGTTGGGTCTTTACGCCGGAACCATCCGGATTTGAATCGATTTAGGAAAATACTTCTGCGAACTACAACAAGTTTCCTCAAAAGCCGTGTTTAAAAGAATAGGTTTTTGACATTTCTGTTTTAAAACCCCAATAATATTGCTAGAAATTGTTAACAAGTTTGATAAATTATACATATTACAAAAATCTGTACCAAAGGAAATATAATTTATGGACCAATGGAATTTAATTTATGGGCATATGTATCATTTTATATGCATTAACTTACAAAGTTATGTATAAAGACACAATATTTATGGGATTGATATAAATAAAAATTGTATGTTCCATTTCACAAATTTATCATATTTACTAAATAAAGCGCCACACAAAAATAAAAATACTTAATTTTAATTATAATAAAAATATAAGATAAATAATGAGTTAAAAATAATTGATTATTAAAATATATAAATTCAAATGTGAGATTCATTAGCAAATGGTATTCTCCAATAAATACCTACCAGCCAGAAAATATACATACCATGTATACATTAATATTTATATATATATATATATATATAGATAGACTTATATGAGTGCATTTACTAAAAAACACATAGGTGTTTGCTCTTTAAAAGGTTATATTAAAAAATGGTGCTGTGCCAACAACATACAATTTGTATTTTTTACAGGGTGTTTCTGCTTTTAAACAAATGAATACTCAACTCGCCACTAAGAGAAGTGGAACTAAATAAAACAGTGGTGAACAAAAAGGCGCTATACGTTTGTTTGTTAAGTGTTGTTGGGCGGAAAGATTTTCGATAAAACTGAGCTTGGCAAAAAAGCCAAAAAAAAAAAACATTTTTACAAAATAAAGTGGAGTTAAGTTCACTTCTTTTGTTTATGTACTATAATATTATAATTTAATTCAATAACTATATATTTAATAAATATCTTTAGAAGTTCATTTAGGCTTTGTAGCATTCGTTAAATTACTTTTTAACATGTTTACCTTCTTATATAAATATATCTTTTATTTAATTGGCCAAAATTTTTTTGAAGAGTGAAAAAATTAATTTTTTAGTGAAAATATACATATTTTTTCTAAATGAAAATATATAGATTTTTTTTTGAATAAACATATATATATATATTTTTTTAAATAAAAAATTAATTATTTTTTCATGTGAAAAATTATAGATTTTTTTCTAGTGAAACAAGTATAGAATTTTATATTTTAAGTGAAAAAATTATAATTGTTTCAAGTAAAAAAATTATAAATTTTTTCATGTGAAATATTATAGACATTTTTAGCAAAAAATTTAAGTGCAAAAATTATAATTTTTTTATAGAAAATATTACGTATTTTTTATTATTTTTCCATAAAATTTCAATAATAAGTGATTTGGTTTTTGTTTGTATTTGCTTAATTGAATTTTTTTTGAATTTAATCAAAACCTTTCTTAGTTTGCCCTCCAACAACACTTATTGCAATGCAAACCAACTACAAATAAAAACAAAATATATACACTAAAATTTAGTATATACATACAAATTTGTATAAAAAGGAAACAGAAAGGAATTTGCGAGCTAATAACAAATTGTTTGAACACATTTTTAGTGGTTTGTGGATTTTACAGCATTTATATGTTTTACGTATTTCTATTTTTTTTTTGTTCTGCTTATTTGGTGTGTTTGTTCATTTTAATAGAAAATAATTGAATTCGTCCTAACCTCGCCACTCAACAAGTCCATCTCATGCGATGCGGCATGCTTTGCCGTTTTTATAATGCTGTAGGTCTTGGCGAAGGGCGCTTTTATAAGCTGATATTTTTTTTTTGTAAAGTAATTATATATATAAATTTATTTTTTGTTGTTGTTCATCAATTTTTCATTTTTTTTTTCAAGTGGAGCGGTAAAATATAGATATATATATTTTAACGTTTGGCGGAGTAAGAAAACAGAAAAAAAAGAATTTTTCAAATGAAGAAAATTTTGTTTAAAATTATATGCAAAAAAGTTAAATGGAATTTTTATCTTGTACAAAACAGAAATTTACTTTAAATACAATATTTATTAAAGATTAAAGTAAGTTTTTTTTTTTTATTTATTTGATAAATATATATTTCTTCCAATAAAAAAAGACCTAGGGAAGTATAGTTAATAAATTTGGTTTCGAAACTTACAATTTAGAACAGAACTTATGATATTTAAATGTATATGTTATTTATAGTTATATAAAGTCTATAGTAGATAGTAAAGTGATGGTAAATTTTATTGAATGGTTAAATTAAAAAAAAAACAGTAACGTACTAGCAGATATTAATATAAATATTAGTAAAAGTAGTGATGAGAGAAAACTTATTCATAAAAGAAATTAATTAAATCGGTGCAACGCATCTTAATTTGTTGCCAAAGCACCCTTGCTAAAAATTACTGATTCTTCTTTTCCTTTTTGTGTGACAAATTCAAAACTTGCGTACTCACCTCCCATGATTCGCGCGTCAAATCGCTAATCTCCTCATTCTCTTGACTGCCACTACGGCCACTCTTAGCAGTGCCGCTCTTCGTCCACTCAGTATCATCTTGTATGAGTTCGAAGCCACGCGTTTTGATTTGCTCTTCATTCAATTCACCATACAGGTGCTGCACCCAGGTGTTTATGAAGCGATACAATTCATCAACGCTATGCAGGGAGAAGGGTATATTTAATTGCATTTACTAAAATAAATAAATATAAATATGGTATTACCGATTTTTAGGTACACTAAACCAATATTCAGGTCTCAATTTATTTTTGCCATACGACATAACAGAGGTCGGTAGCGGTATTGCCTTGCCGATGGGTTTACCCATGCGCAGGCGTAAGTACAATGGTGGGTCGGGGCAGGCACGTGCCGGTCGTGGTATCAATTCTGTAGTGAGATTAGAGTAAAGAAAATAAAAAATTAATAATCAAATGATATTAATAAAATATACTTATGGCATAGCACATATATATATGAATTTAACGTGCAACATTTAAGCAAATATAAATATACATTTATAAGCATATTTATAATTGAGTGAATTTATAATTTATACATAAATTTATTTTGGAAAAATATTTCAGATTAAAGTACTTATTTGCACAATTAATAAAAAATATATATATAAATATAAGTATAAAAAAATGATACAAAATTAAATAATATTAAATAAATGCATAATTAAATAAAAATAAATAAACAAATAAATACATAAATTCACGATAAAAAACAATGTTACATATGTATGTATGTAAGTCGAATAAATTTTTTTAATGACATATTTACAAAGGAAACATTATTTTTCAATAAAAAATAGGTTTGTTTTAAACTTTACTGAAATTTAAATAATATACTTAAAAACGTTTCATATGTTTAAGTTTTACAAACAAATTTTGGGACACACTTATACATATAGGCAGATATTTGTACATACATATGTATGCACAAGAAACGTTATATTTACATTTTAATATTATATATTTGTAGTGGTCTATGTTATTTGTGTACAAAATTAGCTTGAGTTTGTGTGGACACATATGCATAACTGTTTTTTTTTTTTTTTGATATTATTTGACTTAATTTTTAATATATGTATGTATACATTTGTAATATATATTTTCTTGTTTAATTTAGCTTTGTGCAGAACTGTAACACACATACCGACAATATTCAAGTGAGGAAAATATGGAGCCCGTACTAAGCCACATTTTTTTTATTTTTTTTATTTTTTTTTTTTTGGAAATGTAAAGTAGGTGAGAGTATATGAATGTATGAGTAAAGATTATAATACAATTTTGTTAATTGCAAAAAGTGATAAAAACACATAAAATATCTTATTGCTGAAAATTTTGATAAAAATGTAAATGAATATTTTTTTCTTAGAATTTTTTTTTAGAGAAATTTGTACTAAAATTTCATAAAACCAACAAAAATGTTAAAAAATATATTTTCCGAAATCATGAAGGCTAAATTTTTTTAACAAAGAAAATATATTAATTAAAAATTTATTTCTTACTCAAAAGTAAATAGCAAACACATAAAATATATTTTTGTCTGCCTAATGATGCAACTACCTAACACTTGTATAATATATAGCAATCAAAATCTATACCTGTTATGTAGTTGATTTTTAACATTAACTTAATCAATTTTTTTTTCTAAATTATAGTCATCAAAAAATAAATATAAAAAAATATTTATTTAATTTAAATTACAATAATTACTTACTATCAACACTTATGAATAATTCCGGTTTATCATCAACCGATACCATCGAACGATAATCCAATTTAGGTTGTGGTTTAACATCCTTCAATTTTGTTGTGGAAGCAGTGCCCTCCGACGATTGTGGACGCATAAATGTGCCAATCGATGAGCGTCTGCATGTATGGAAAATGAATGGGAATTAATTGGAAGAAAAATAATACTGGTATTTTTTTTTGTATTTTCCCGCAACATATATTATTTTATACATTATATGCGAATCTTAATTCGAAAATGTAATGATATTGAAACTAAAGTGTAAAACATTTGCGTAAACAAAATTCAGTGGGGATAGTTTGAGTGCTAAATATTAATTGCATACATACAAAAATTAAAAATAATTGTTTCTTTTATTAAAAAAAATGTAATTTTTTATTTGAAAATATGTAATTTAAAAAAAATGTAATTTTTTATTAAAAAAAAATATGTAATTTTTTATTTGAAATTAATCTTTATTTTTTTATTTTTTGTTTTATTTTTTTTTTTTTTTAATTTTTATTGTCATGTCTTATTTATTTAAATTTTTTCTTTTACTCATACATAATTTTTTATTTTGTAATATTTTTATTAATTTTTTTTCTTTCCATCTCATTTTATTTTCTTTATTTTATTTTTATTTTTTTACTTCATTTTATTTTTATTTTTTTACTTCACTTTATTTTTATTTTTTACTTTTTTTTTATTGTTTTTCATTTATTTTTTTATCTTTTTTTCGTTTATTTTTTTTTTTTTCTAATTAACTTTTTTATTTTTTATCCTATTTTATTTTCGTTTTTTTAATTCTTTGAATTTTTTATTTTATTTTTTTAATTTAACTTTTTTAATTTTATTTTTATATTTTATTTTTTTATTTCATTTTTTTATTTTATTTTTTATTTTTATTTTTTTTTATTTTTATTTTTTTTATTTTTATTTTTTTTATCTTTTTTTATTTTATTTATTTTATCTTTTTTATTTTATTTATTTTATCTTTTTTATTTTATTTATTTTATCTTTTTTATTTTGTTTATTTTTTTTTTATTTTATTTATTTTTTCAANTATTTTTTTATTTATTATTTTTTTTTTATTTTATTTATTATTTTTATTTTATTTATTTTTTTTATTTTTTTTTTCTTTATTTTTTTTTTATGTAATAATTTAATTTTGTTATTTTTTTATTTTTATTTCTTTTAACTTTTTTTTATTTTATTTACTTTTTTATTTTTAATTTTTATTTTATTTTTTTCTTAATTTTATTTTAATATTTTTATTTTTATTTTTATTTTTTTATTTTATTTTTTTATTTTATATTTTTGTTTTATATTTTTATTTTATATTTTTATTCCATATTTTTCTTTTTTATGTTATTTTTCTATTAATATTATTTTTTTTTTAATTATTTTTATTTGTTTATTTTTTTTATTAAAATGAGTTAGCTAAATTCGTACAGGACATGTCGTAATTAACGTAAAAAAATTGTGAAGAAAGATTTCTTTCTTAGAAATTTTTTACATTTAAGTTACTAAACACACAACAGCAACAAAAACAGTTGGTTTCAACAGAATAAAGTTCGATATTAATATTGAGAGATAGATACATGGTTTAAAAAATAGATCTTTCCAGATATAAAGACGTATACAGTTACGTATAGAAAATATGGTCGAGTTCCAAAACATCAAAATACTTTGTTATAACATAACATAACAATGCAACTTTGCATTCTATAAATTTGCCTTGGAACAATACTTTGCAAACTCTGACATTTTGGAACGCTTTTCGTGGAAATAAATTAATTTTCGGAAAAATGGATAAAATTTGAAACAGATCAAAAAAAAATAGTAATATAATGTTTAAAAAAATAATTATCGCAAAAAAGTTGTCCTCCGACGTCGGCCGTTGTTGCGAAGAATTTATGATAAAATAAAGCATCACAAACCTTAGCGATGCGGAGTTTGCTTTGCAACTGACATTTTGGAACTCACCCTATATGACACCATAAAAAAACTATATCTATCTATAAGTGTAATATGTACTAATAATAATACAATAAAGTTCTTTGTTAAAGTAGATTTCCCCAAGCAGTACAGAGTCAAATTTAATTGAAAAATACATGTAAAAAAAGCTGATTGATATTGGGGTGGGTAACAAAGTTTTAACGGATTTTCAAACCATAAAATTTTTACTATTACCTAGAAGAGAAGGTATCTCAACATTGTAAAACATGTTATATGGAAATGGTAAGATATTTGTTTGTAACAGCTAATTTTTCAACATTCAAAGCGTGAAAAACAAAACAAATAATACAAAAGTGCAAGGAAAAATTTTATGAATTCATAAAAAACATTATATACTCTGCACAAAAGAATGCTTAAACGCTGTGATATTTACATGAAAATGTGTATGAAAAGTGATAGAAACCAAATTGTTGAAAGAGTTACCAGGAAATAATAAAAAAAAATTAAAAAAGAGAAAAGGCAAATGCTTCACAAAGATACAACTGGGAGAGATTTCAGTTAAAAATAAAATGAAGTTATTAAAATTTTACTTTAAAAACTCGAGCACACACAACTCAATGGCACAATAAAAGAAAAAGGAAAAAACAATTTTTTTTTGTTGATAAGTCAACACTTTCGATAGTCAATGTATAACAACAATCAAGCGCTATTAATTGCATTTCCTTCTTTTCTTTCAATACAGTTTTCGGTTTTTTTTTTTTGCTATTTAGTCGATTAATTTAAAACAAATCAAACAACAACTGATTCTTACCCAGTCGAAACATGACCCTCAGAATGAGTTGAATGCGGAGTCAGTGGTGGCACTGGTGAGCCACCAGAGTCTTCGGACGGTGTTTTTGAAAATAAATTACCACCCAACTCTGAGACCAAAGTAATGGGCGAACTGTGTGTACGAACAAAAAATTTTAAATTTTTTATGTGTTTTTTTTTAATGCAGTGATGATTGAAGTCAAGTGCGGTGTTTGGTGTTTGTAGTGCCATAAACGGTATTAAACCCAAAATAAGAGCGTAAAATGTGAGAAAATGTGACAAGTTTATATTTGAAACATGGTGAAATGAGTATGTGTGTGTGCGCGTTTCGAGGAGCGTTTGAAGCGCATGAAGTGTTGGTTAAATAAAATAATTTTAATAATTTTGTGAAATTTGTGTTTAAAATTTTTTTATTTAAATAAACATTATCCAATTGCCGCAATTTAGTTGAGTATTTTTTTTTTTTTTTTGTATAAAATAAGTTTGAATTTATGTGTTTTTTTTTAGGAAGAAATCAAAAGAAACAGGTTTTCCCAATTAATTTTGCATTTCTTTTTTATAAAATTCCTAAAAATATGCTAAGTAAACTTAAACTAAATATGACTAAATAATATTTTTCTAATTTCATTGTATTCATTTCACACACAAATTTAGTGTACTCACCTTGAAAATACTTTCGAAAATACACTCTGATTCGAATCGCCCGTGTTGGGCGCCGATTCAGAGTCCGCCGACTTGCCGAGGCTACCACCAGTGCTTGGAGGGCCACCTGCTTCGCCAGTTAAACCTTCAACCCATGCCAACGGGTAGGACAAACGTTTAAGCATCTGTTAAGTAGAGAATAAAATTTGAAATATTACATATTGGTTAAATTTAATTTAACTGAATTTATTGCTCACTTTATTTTTCTTCTCTGCATTCTTTTCACTCTGAGCAGCTGTTGCTGCTGCTGTAGCCGCCACCGCCGCGGCAGCTTGTTGCTCACCATTATTGTCATCGACACTGAAGCTAACGCTGCTGGTCTTCTTACGTCCACCAGCGACGCTAGTGCTAGCATCGAGACTTTTTCCACTCAACACAGAGCTGCGTGGTGGCGATTCGCTCATCAACGTCGGTGAAATGGTCTTTGGTGGCACCCAATCAGAGCTTAGCACAATATCGGCATCACTGTAAACGGTCTTCTTTGGTATGGGCTGTAAATTTGGTATCGGCTCACGTATATCGATGCCCGAGTCATAGCATGATTGCTTAGATAATTCTTCCAAATGCTCGAGATCGGCGGGCGCCAAACCGCCAGGTAAATTCAGACCACCACTAGCTGCACCTATGCCGCTTATTGAGGATGTGGCCGAATGTGGGTCCTGTCCACGAGCGCCACTGTCAATGGTCGTTTGCGATTCGTTGTCGCCCTCGTCTTCCGATGATCTTCGGGAATTGAGATAATAAAGACTGAATTTTTTGCCACACATATATACAAATATATATATATATATATATATTTTTTTTTTTTGAATAAAGTGCACGCGAATGTTGAGGTAGTGGTGTGCGATAATTTCATTACATTTAACAGAATCGTTTTTGATATACAAACGTTTGATGAACAGTAACGTTTGGGCAATAGTTGTTGGAAATTATTTAATGAAAGCACATACATAGTTATAGTACATTTTTTTTTATATTTTATATTGACGGATGTTGCCAATTGGGGTTTGCCATTGAAACAAAAGTAAATTTTTTCCACCACAAAATTTGTATGGATGGTATTGAAGCGATATCACAATTCACATATGAAAATATACAGAAATAAAAATTTACAAAATTAAAATTAGAGTTTTTTGCTTTTAATTATTAATGAACTAATACGTATATACTACCAATTATTGTACATGGAACCACACGCACATATGCACACGCTGTTTTGCATGCATGGTTAGCCAGTGTGCGCGCGAAAAGAGTAACACGAGACCCCAATAAGAGCGAAAAAATGGTGATATCAACGTCAATGAGTTACGACCCAATTTTATAAAGATCTATTTTTGATTAGTGTTAATTGGTAAAACAAATTTTGCAGCTGATTTAATAAAAAGAACAGTGATAGAGTACATATTTACGCCTGATAGTTTTGAGAGTTAATTGGAAGGTGGAAAATTGAGTATAATAGTTAATAAACTTAGTAAAATAATAGTAAATATTTTAGAAGCTTTTCATATGTCTCTTAGAAAATATAGCCCCGAGCTTAGAAACGATTGGCACAAGCCTTTACGACACTTTAACGTTTAACATAGTAAATATCTTTCAAAGTTTTCATTATAGTAAAGGGTTTACCAAACCGAGCTGTTATTCCGGTAAATGTCACTTATAAGGCTATAATTTTTCACATTTGACAAGTCAAAACTATGCCAGTAATAATAAACGCAATGATGTTTATACGCTTCAACAAAGCATTGAAATTATTAAAATTCACTATGAAAATTTGAAAACCTGTCAGAGACAGTTCGTAAAACTAAAACTTTTTTCGGACCACAACACAGAAATTGGTGGAAAAAATGAAGTTGTTGGTGCAAGTTAGTGATGTGAAGAATAAAACACTTGCACGTCACTCTAGAACAACTGAAAATATTACTGCCGTAGCCCAAAGTGTTGAAGGGTTTAACCATTACTCGTCGTTCTTTGGAATTGGGCATTCCACAAACGTCATTTTGCATAAACTCGCTGCTCTTAAGAGTTATAAAGTGCAGTTAACACAAAAACCCAAGCCGACCCATCGTCAACAATGTCGTGTCTTTGCTAGCTGGGTCTTTGAAATGCATGAAAATGATGCGGATTTTCAACGAAAATTCATCGTGACTGATGAGGCCCTTTCCTCCTCGATGGCTACGTCAATAAGCAAAACTGTCGCAATTGGGGCTCGCAGAAACCAAGATTTATTTTTAAATAAAGCCTCTTCATTCTCCATGTGTAACTTTTTGGTGTGGTTAATGGTTCGCCGGTTACAATAGCAACAGTTACGGATAATACATTCCGCTATCGAGAGGAATATTAATGATCTTTTATGGCCGGAATCGAATGATATCGATCTGGAAAACGTTGGCTTTCAACTAGACGGTGCTACCAGTCACAAAAGCAATGAAACTATCGATCTTTAAAGTAAAAATTTCCGGACTGTGTTCTCTGTCAAAGAGGTGATAGCATTTGACCACCACACATCTTGTGATTTAACACCTTGCGACTTCTTCCTTTGGAGACATGTGCAAGATAAAGTCTGCGCCAACAAATCAATGTCGATGCAAGACTTCAAAGAAGGAGTTCGTGAGGCTATTGGGGGTTATAGCAATCACTTTGCGAGTTGGTGACAGAAAATCTCATAAAAAGTATATGGTCCTATAAGCGTAGCCGTGGCGGTCATTTCGCTGAATTTTTTTTTTTCATAATTAACGGCATATATTCTACTTCTCGAACAGCAAAATAACACTTTTTATTGGAAAGCCCTTTATTATTACGCTCTATATTTAGTGCCAAACAGTATTTTTTGAGATAAAATATTCTGTCAAATGTTTAATAATTTTGATTAAAATTTTTAATTAAGATCAAGTAAACAAAAATCACATTTCGTTATATGATTAATGGGAAGTTGGTAAATAAACTACCGCCAGAATACATACATACCACCATACATAATAATAGATAAAAACAACAAGGTCATTTTTTTATTGGAATAAATGAGAAAACCACAAATGTACGGAAGGTGCGCATTGTAATAAAATAGAAAAGTTGTTTAGACCCCTTTTGATTAATTTACTACGTTGCCTAATTAGTTTCTAAATTTTTAGTTCCAAGCAAAGTGAATATTATCTCTAACAAAAAGGCTGAATACAAAAAAATAAAAGCAAATTAAACAATACCAATAAACGGACAAATCGTAACAGAAGACACGCGCACAGAGACAGAAACATTTAAATGATGGTGGAAACAAATACATGCTAATTGGTTTGGCTTATAGTAAATGAAGTTTGTGATTTAAGCTAAATTGAATACAGATTGCTTACCGATCTTTGCTCGGTATGGCCCAGTGGTGGTCCAATAGACTTTTGCGTCTCTCCTCCAATGTTGTACGTGTGTCGGTGAGATTAAGAGTTTTCTTCAAATCATTGACAATTGTATCGTCATCAGTTTTGTTGGCTTTCGTGCTGGCCGTATCACCGTCATCATCAGTCTTAACACTTTCTTTGGCTTCCACACCCTTCTCTTCAGCTTTCTGTTAATCAAACGTAAGATATATACATTTACATAAATAAATATAACCACATATACATATGTATGAAACGATTACTTACCTCACGTTCGCCGCCCACATTTGAGCATAACGACTCCTGATCGTCACATGTTTCCACCGAACCACCTGTTTGTTTGCCCGCACATACGTATGCAAATATTTATAAAGAAAAAAAATTTGAATATTGTAACACTGCATATTTGAATCAAAAATATTTAAAAAAATAAAAAAAAATTTTTTCTTTTATAAAATCTTTTACCTTGCTTTGCTTTATCGGCCTCGGTTTCGTTTGTCTGTTCTTTGGCCTCTTTAGCCTGTTTCGCTTCTAATACTGCTTGTGGATAGTAGATTTCGGCATTTTCCGTATTTTGTTCGGTATTTATACCACCCGACACACGCATATGCGCAATATCATGAAATATCGCTGCATTGACGACTAGTTCCATTGGTGCTATCACACCATAACTCTCCGGGCCATGTTCGATGACAAGAGGATCAGAGACATTCGGATCGAACATAACAGCATTGGGTGTGACCAATAGCACACCTCCCACCACGCCTTGCCCATCGGTGATATGACGTACATTGATTTTGAGGAAACGTTGTGTAATAACTGGATCATCGCTCTTATTTGCCTCGGCCTGTGCACTATCGGCGCTCTTAGTGGAATCGATGCGTTCAATGTGACCCGGTTTCGGTGAACCAGGACGGAGACCTTCTAGTATATCTGAAAAAATTAGGACGACAGAAAAAGAGAGAGAGAGAGAGAAAGAGGGAGAAAAAAGAGCAAGGTTACTTATTTATATTTATTATTATAGAGTTTAAAGAAATTTATTATATAATATGTGTGACAAATGCATTTCGGTACGTCAAGGCACAAGTGCGCTTGTGACACTTTACGATAAGATAATTAAATATTTATGTGATCTATGAGCGTTGCTAGAACAAGCCTTTTATTCTTATTTTGCTTTAATATTCAAATAAATGTATTTCGCAGTTGTAAGGTGGGACAAAATTTTAAGTTAATGTCGCTTAAATAGTTACTCACTCACGCATCTTTAGAAGAAAGAATTTAATTTTCATGTATTTATTAAAAAAAGATAATATATTAAGATTACACAAATTATTACCAATAAATTTTTATATATTTATTTAAAAAAGACCATGTGCTCTTTACTATTTAGACGTAATAAACATTTATTATGGAATGACTAACTCCAACCACATAAAATGGAGAAGGAAAACGTTAATAATTTTTTATTTTATTACGAAAAAATATATTAATTTACACTAATTAGTCTACAGCAGTGGAAACAAAAATAAGATCACTATCGGCTATATAGTGAGCGTTTAAAAGCCTCTAGTTAACTTGACAATATATTATAAGAAATATGTATGTATATTGCCCCTGTGGGTTAGGGGCTTAAGAATTTATACGTGGGATGGCATGCCTGTCGTAAGATGAGACTAAAATCCAGTAGTTTCTGTGACAGTCGCGTTTTTATGCCGGAACGACCTAGATTTTTATCCAGCCAAATACTGTCAAAAATCAATTGCGGGAATATTTTGCGGCTACAACAACAACAACAATAGAAATCTGTATATAATTAGTTGCTTAAATGTCTGTATGAAATTCTTCCGAAAAGAAATGTTTTAAAAATTGAAATATCAGCAGTGTTTTGTGTGAATTGAAGGTATACATATTTTTTACATTAAAAATCTTAGGAATTGGTGTATGACTAGGAGAGTTTAGTTATCATTAAAAAAAAAAATACTTCCTATGCGTAGTTTTTTGGGCGTAACCGTAATCAAACTAGGTGAAAGCTCTTGCTACATACATAATTGTGGAAAGATCTACATAAATAGCACATGGTTACACATAAATATAGTAAAAAAAATTTTGATTTTTAATATATAATAAATTGATTTTAATTTTTAAAAACCTATTTTTGAAAGCAACAATAAATGGTTTAATAATTAGTTTGAGATAAATTATAAATAAGCTTTACAGATGTTTTATATAAAAAATAATTTAAACATTTTTAAATGGTTTATTTTTTTTTATCTATGATTATTCAATTTTAACCAATAAAAGGGAATCTCATAGTTGATTTTCAAAATTATAAATTTTATTAGGCGCCATAAATTTCCGGTGGCTCTTTTGCATTTATTCACAAATGAATACAAATATGCTTGCACAGCACAAAAAAAAGCAAAAGTTCAGCTATTAAATTTATTGATTAGTGGCATATGCATATATGTATGTATGCATGTACATATGTACGGATAGGTCTTAACATAACAATATTTGCCAAACTACTTTATTTAAACTTTCTGCATTCACCAACGCAAATAGCTTGTGTTACTTACTATCAAATTCTCGTTGATAAAAGTAATAAATTAAAAAAAAAATTAAATCAGTTCTTCGGTGATAAAAAGTAAATACAAAAACTTCAATTCAAATACAAATAGTATTAACACTTTCTGCACAATACATACTGATATATGATAAGACATTAGTTCAAATGCTTTAAAATTTGCTTAGGTGCTAGAAAATCAACACAGCGACGAAACACTCAATTGTGGTATGTGATTTAATGTCCCATATGGTCTAGTGGCTAGGATATCTGGCTTTCACCCAGAAGGCCCGGGTTCGATTCCCGGTTTGGGAAAGTGTTTTTTCTTTTGTTCTTTGGTAACTTCTTTGATTTTTTTAATTCATCGCTTTTGATTAAATTTTATTAATTTGAAAACCATTTTGCATGAAGTGGTATATTTTAATTTTTTGCTATTTTCTATTTGCTATTTCACCCCAAGTTTTTTCTAATTAGAATTTATGTAGTGTTTCAGAACTTTCTTATTCAGCGTAAATATTTTCATCAAGTTATTTGAGAAAATATACATACGTCATTTTTTAACACATTAATTGCTTTACAAACTTGCCATGCAAGAGCTTTTGTTTTTTCCACCTTCTTTTTTTGTGTTTAAAACTTTGAGGTTTTGTCATTGGCCGGCTAATAAAAACAAAAAAGTAGCGAGACAACTTTAAACTTATAACTTCGCACTTTATTTCTCCGGCGCTTGTTGTACTGTTGAATTTGCATAGGCATAATTTTCTTTAAAAATTAACACAATTTATGTATTGTTGTTTTATTGGAAAAAGGTAAATAAAGAACATTTGTGTTTGTGTTCACCTCCGTTACGCCAGAAGACCGCTGTATGCATTATCACCGCTTTTGCTTTACTTTCTACCACTAAACTAGCCGATTTGCTGTGCGTTGTTTTCTTTCGATTAATCAATTTATAATACTACTAATTTGGTCACTATTAATAGAGTTTCATTAATATTCTTTAAATTATCAGCAGCAACTAATTGGAATGAATTAACTTTTGCAGAACTCCTGACTTTTGTTATGTTGTTGATTTTACGTGTGCTAAGTCGATGACAGACAAATGTCAATAGCATATGTGCTGGAAAAATAAACGAGTGAGAAGCAAAATGCAAAACGAATGAGCAGAAAGCGAATTAGTAGGTAAAACGAAATTGTAGTTGACAATTGTTTAGCGGTGCTGCCATATAGCGGCTTCTGCATAATAAAATTTTGTGTAAAGAAAAAAATTTAATTACAAATTAAATGGAATTAATTTTAACAGTAATAAACCAAAAATTTATTTTATATATATATGCACATTTTTAAGCATTTTTATGTCAAATATTTCAAAAATAAGGTATCCACAAATTTATAAATGAAATGAAGGTAATAAAATTTAGCAACAAATCAATTAAATTTTAAGTATTCGAATTGGGTTTTCTCAATTAAGCTAGACTTGCGAAGCGCCTGCTTTTTTAATTAAAGTCGAAAATCCATATCCATATCCATCCAGAATTTTGTTTCACAATTAAAATAAAGTTTTTTTTTGTAGCAACGAGTGACTCCGTTTTTTTTTTTTTTTTTTTTTTTTTTTTTTTGAAATTGATTAAGGTTTTACATAGGTCTAAAGTCATGAACCCATAGCGCATATTAATTTACAATTATATATAAGTAGTCATGATGTAGAACAACAACGCTTTGTGGGAACTATAAGAGCGCATTGATATCAAATTTTGTCCCATTTTCTAGTCCTTGCTTTTCTTCGGGACTATTGCACATAATCTTAGAGGCGGTGTGTGTTGAGTCAGCTTTCGAGTGCAATAGTTGGAGCCGCTCCTTTTATGCAGAGTGCTAGAGACGTATTCGCTCCAATGTTTTTTGTTTGAGTTATAGGTGACAGTGGTTTACGACATCAAAGCACAACTGGGCAAGACTGGCGTGGCCACCACTGAAGTCAGGCGATAGGTCTCACTTAGCATCCTAAATACAGAGCTCCCACATAAGCTTGCCGTTCAAAATTACTCACAGCTACTTGATTATAACTCCTTCTGATTGGTTTCTGAGGGTTTCCAGGCAGGTACTTTGTACCTTTTTATACAAGATATGGTATATGTTTTATCGGCATTTACACCTAAGTTAGTCAATAACGCTCATTGGTGTTGAGGGTCATAAACCAATTCATTGCTTTACCAATAGTGTCAAGAATCTGGTTGCTCGTCACTAATGTGGCTTTGTTCTCTACATAGTTTATTAACTTAGGTGCTTTCTCTTTCAAATTTTCTTAGAATATCATTTGCTACTACGGAACATAGGACTGGTGGCAATGAACTCCTTCGAGGAGTTCTTCTACGTGTTAGCCTACGCTGTCTGGCTTTATTCCATTTCGCCTTAATCTTCCTGCAGCTCAGTCGGCTTTTTATTCACGAAGATGGTAGGCTCTACCTGTGTAGCTTCTAGACCTTTCCGCTTGCTTCATTGGAGGTATTTTGGTATGCACCCCTAACATATTTCCAAAAAGACATCCACAGTGTGTTTCTGACCATGTTATACTTTATTGGGGTTGGCAACGCTTACGCGATTATAGTCGAATCGATTATAGCGCGCTGTTTGCGATTAGTTAGAAATACCAAGGTAAACCAGGTCACCTTCCACTTGGTCCTTCCAACGGCGTAGAGATCTTCCTCTTCCTCTGCTGTCATCAGCGGGTACTGCATCGAATACTTTTAAAGCTGGAGTGATGTCATCTATTTGGACGACATAACCTGATCAGCGCATTTCTTACGCTCTAGACCTATTTATTTATGTAATTAGGGTTTGTAATACTCAGTGACTCTACCGTTCGTATAGGCATGCTACGCTTTTCATATGTTAATCCACAAAAGCTTATTCGTAATGGTATGGTATGCGTCTAGTATCTTTTCCAGTGTCTTCAGAAGCCACACTTTCACTACATATTGGAGTAAGCTTTCATTGCTCGCCTTGGTTACGAACAGGGCACCCCCGCGCTCTTCAAAGAACAGGCGCCCCTAGACCTTCAACAACCTTTATTTATTGTCATAAAACTATGTATTAACACTTTTAAAACCTTTTGTATCAGAGAAAATCTAAAAGATTTTTAGGTTAGGTTATGTATATTGGCTGTCTGGCGAGAAAAAAAAAATTATTATGCAACTAAGAAATGAGTAGGCTTGCACATGCATATGCAACTATTTGCTAGTATGAAAAATATTTTTAATTTAAGTACTTTTTTTTTGTAAGGATTGCTCTTAATGTGTTTTATCTTTGCATTGCAACTCACCATTTTCATCTTTCTGCTCATCGGTGGTGGATAATTTGCGTTCGACGGGACTCGATTTGCCCGAAATGCTGGCGTTGGAGCCCTTTTCATCGATGCCAGTCGCACTGCCACTGACCGAATCATTTTTAGCCGCACTCTTATCCGGTACCAGCAATTGTTGCCCCGGATATATGAATGAACTGTTCAGGCGATTGAGATGTGTCAACTCTGAGGGTGTAGTGTCGAAACGTGCAGCCACCGAGGTCAAGGTATCACGATTTCCGACCGTATACGTTTTGGTTGGTATGGTGGGCAATGATGACTTTTTGCGCTCATCTAAAAACAGTTGGCGATGGATAGAGGTGGGTGGGTATACAAAGTCACACAGAAGTTAGGAAAGATCAAGGCGGTTGAGTGGCACAGAGTTGGTATTACAGAGTGGTTAGGAAGAAAAAGAAAAAAAATTGATTTAATTAAATAAACATTTTGAAATCAGTTTTTTTTTAATAATAGAAATACATTAAAAAAAATAAACAAAAATAAAATATGTAATCATAAAAATAAACAATAGTACAGTGTTATTTAAACAATATGGCAAGGTTTTCATTTAGAAGTAGTGTTATATTTATAGCTCCTGGATTTTCTGGCATATTGTACCATAATTTTTATTAACAAATATATATCAATAATTTTTTTTAATGATTTACTTAGGGAAAACTAAATAACAAAAATAATTATAATTAAAAATAGCAAAATATAATAAAATTAAATAAAAACAATTATAATAATAATAAAAAATAAAAACAAAAAAATAGTCGCATAATAAAACTAACAGTAGAATTTTTATTATAATAAATAACAAAATTACTAATAATAAATAATAAAAAAATAACAAAAAAAATTAAAAAAAAAATAATAATAATAATAATAATAATAATAACAACAATAATAATAATAATAATAATAATAATAATAATAATAATAATAATAATAATAATAATAATAATAATAATAATAATAATAATAATAATAATAATAATAACAATAATAATAATAATAATAATAATAATAATAATAACAATAAAAATAATAATAATAGTAATAATTATAACAATAAGAATAATAATAATAAAAAAATAATAGTAAAGTAATAAAAATTATTCATGATAATAAAGAATAATAAAAAACAATTAATAATAGTAATAACAACGATAATATCAAATATAAAATAGAAAAAAATTACAAAAATTACTAATAATAAAAATATTAAAAACAACATTAACAACAATAATAAATTGAAAAATTATAAATAATCAATAATATTAACAATAAGAATTAAATTGTAATATTAAAAAATAATAAATAATAATTTAAATAGTAATACTAAAAATAATAAATAATAAGAATGTTATAATTAGGATAAAAATATTAATATAAAAAAAATCCAAAACTATAAGTAACAATTAATTTTAATAATTATAATAACGATAATAACAATAATAAGATCAATAAAAATAGTAACAGAAAATAATAATAACATTAATAGTAATAATAATAATAATAATAATAAATTGCAGAATTATAAATAATAAATAATATTAACAATAAGAATTTTATTATTATAACAAAAATATAAAAATGAAAAGTAATAAAAATAATTAATTTTAATAATGATAATAATGATTACAACAATAATAATAACTCATAATAAAAATAGTAACAATTTTAATAGTGATAATAACAATAATAAATATTAGTAATAATAGTAAAAAATATTAATAAATAATAACGATAATAATAACACAATGAAATAAAGTGAATAATAATAAAAAACTTTAATAATAAATAATAAATATAATAACAAAAGGAAATAATATCATATATTAGCAATAATAATAATAACAACAAGAAATAGTAATAATACATATGATAAAAAAATAATATTTAATTTCTAAATAAATAAAATTTATATTTCTTTGCGTTATAAGGTTATTTTTTACAAAAATTATTTTATTTATTTTAAATAAATTAAATTGTATTTTTTTAATACCTCACTATAACAAAGAGTTTTTAAAAACATAATTTTTGTTTCAAACGCTGACCATATTTAACCAATTTAGAGACTATTTTTTAAATTTTTATTTCTTCCAATAAATAAACAAAATTAATTGCATAAAAAGGAAAATTTTTATTAAACAAAAATTAAATTGCAAAAATTAGTTAAAAAAACGATTATAGCTTTTGCATTGGAAAAGAATAATAATTTTTTAGATTGTAGAAAAAATTTAATCATTTGCAACATTCTCTCGATAGAGTAGATAATTTAATTTGAATTTTATGAAAAAAGTACTCAGTAATATAAATTTAGCTGGACAAAATTTATAAAAAAAGCATTAAATAAATTAACTGGTATTGAGGTAATAAGTTAATTAAATTTAATATTATTAAAAAAAATTAATTACACTTCAAATTTAATATTATTAATTCTACTTCAAATTTAATATTATTTAAAAAAATTAATTACACTTCAAATTTAATATTATTTAAAAAAATTAATTACATTTAAAATTTAAAAATTAAAAAACTAGAGTTTTTTCAAGAAGAGTTACAAAAATAAATTGCAAAATAAAAAGGTATATTTTTGTGACATATATTTGTTAATAACTTATTTTTTTGGTTTTGATTTTAAACAAAGTGAGAGATAAAAACTGCAAGTTTAGTCATCTTTAAGGAATTTTCGATTGATAACTTTTGCACATATTTTTGTATTTACGATTATAACACTGTGTTATTATTTAAAAAGAAAACAAAGTTAAAAGTACAGTTAAATATTGTTAGTTTTGATTAGAAAAATATTGTTGTTTTTCTTTTAGGAAATCGGAAAAATTTCTGCACAAACGCACTTCTCTTACGCGACGCGCTAGTGTCAATGCTTGTTGGTATTTTTTTTTTCGTTGCTGTAGTTGTTGCTGTGATTGTTATCTTTTTTGGCGTTTGTTCGAAGATAACAAATTTGTTACAAGCGTCCGCCAACAGACTTTGTAATGCCTTGACGTCGCGATTGCGGTTGTCGGCGTCGGCGTCGGAGTTGGCGTCGGCTCCTAACACTGCACTAGCGCCAACAATGGGTCGACGCAAGTAAAGAACAACAAAATTGTGTAAATTTTCCTCATGTCTGAATATTTTCACACTTTTCATTTCAAAACCAGCAATTTGTATACATACAAACAAACATATGTATGCACATTTGTACGTACTGACAGCACACATGCAGCGTGTTTGATTGACTTGAGATTGAACACCACCAAGGCACAATGAGACTAATTTAAAACTGCGCTTTTTTCCAATTCAAACAAAATAATGTTTTGATTTATAAAATTTTTTGCTGACTCGCTGAGTTTTCAAGATTCTTGAGAGATATTCATTTGTTTTCGACACATGTTTTTTTTTAATTTACTTTTTTTATTTGTTTTCTTTTTTTTTCTTTCTTAGAGCAGCGACATTTGAGTGAAAAACTCAGATTACAAAGATTCAAACGCGCGTTTGCCTTTAGCGACTTTCACGCCAACGGCACGTCGCCGGCAGCGCCTCCACAATTGCTTATACACTTTTTTTTTTGTTCCTCCCACGCCTCAAGCCGCATCACAACCCGCATCAGAACAGAAATAACAACCGAAAAATTAAACCCAATCTCATTGGCATTAACTCCTTGCTCCGCGGTCTCGACTGTTTGGTGTTAAGTTAAGAGACTTCCGCCCGTCCATTCGTCCGTCCGTTCTTCCACTGGCGGGAAAGTGATAAGTCCGTTGCTGCGCCAAGTCAGCACTTGAAATTCAAAAGCCAAAAAGCAAACTAAATTCGAGCAATTGTTGCTGTTGTGAAACTTACACTTACTGGCGATCTCATTGCGGTATATTTTATTTATTTTGCTTTGCTATTGTTTTGTTTCAATTTTTAATTACTCGCTCGCATATACTCGTATGCATATATTCGTTGGTATGTACATGGAAGCATACAAACGTTCTCAAAGTTGAGTTATTACATACATATATATATATATGGATATGTATTGCGCTAGTCTCGTTGACACTCAAAGCGTTTTGTGTTTTTGTAACGAGTTAAAAATGTGTTCTGTTTGTATACACAAATATATGTATATATGTATGTATGTATGCCTTTTTGTTTATTATTTTCAACTTTTATTGGCTTGACAAACCATTTATGGGACTCTTTGGTTCTTATATAACTCGAAATTCTGCAGCCGTTGCCTGAAAGCACTAATTTTTTTTTTTTGAAATTAGCGAAAATGTATTTGTAATTTTAGTAGCGTAAATGGACCGCGCTGTGTCTAACATTCGGTCGACATAATACCCCAGCAGAGTTGGTAATTTAAGCAACCACGGACCAGCTACGCAAAACCTTTAATCTGACGGATAATGCGTATTCTCAGAGATGGCGTACAGGTCGCACCGAGGACGTTATTGCTGCTGTGGAGCAGAGTATCGAGGGCGATTCTACTGTGGATAATAATTCATTAGACATTGTTCAGACACCGTTACATTGATGTACTCATTGGGTAGAGGGAATCACTATGGACCATATTTCTTCATAAATGAAACCGGTCATAATGTTAAACTCAAGGGGAAAGTCATAGAGAAATCTGATCGTGCGTGATCTGGAGGATGTTGATGTGGATGACCTTTGGTTCCAACAAGATGGTGCTACGTGCCATAAAGTCAACGAAACCATCAGTTTATTGAAGGAAACTTTTGATGAGCTCATTATCCCGCTTCGTGTGGCTGTGGCGGGGCCTTCTTGCTGGTGAACGTTTGAAAGAGGGTGTTATTGCTGACATTAGGCCGGAATTGCTACAAGAAGTGGTCGAAACTTGGCACACTCGGTGGGAATCCATTGGAGCAAGCCGCTCGAAACTTGTCCGAAATGAGGAAAATTATTTTTAATACATAACGGTAAACCCTGAACTATGTAATTAAGCTTAATGCTGGGCCATAACATTAAATTATATGCGACTTTATGGTGTGTGTCTTGATGTTTTTCCAACAAATGGAAAAAACTACAGTTAATTCTAAGCTGCGACCGCACAACCGATGGATTCTTATGAGGAGCTTTTGACTTTATGTCAGAAATACACTCGGAGTGCTTGACATTCCCTGCCGAGGGGCGACCGAAATTAGAAAAAATATTTTTTTTTAAATTTCTGGTTATTGGTCGAACCAGGACTCGAACTTTGGCCTTCAGAAAGACAGTACGTACCCCCTCGGCTTTTGCGGCTGCCGACCGTCATATATTCCATATACAAATTTACGTACATTGCGTTTTAACGGCAACGCCAGTGAAAAATATGTATGTGTGTATTTACTTGAAAATAATCGAATGTCACTTGAAATTGAGCGTTTTTTAATGCACAATTAAGGCAGCTGATTCACTTTCAATTGTTGTTGTTTGTTTATATACATATTTATTTGGTATTATTATTGCTGTCAATTGAAGTGCCGAACGAAACTTTTTTGCAATATTTTGTGAGAAAATATTTTTAGTATTATTTTTTATTTCAAAACAAAATTCTTAATTCTCAATCTAATTGAATAATATAAACATAATGAGTAACAGTAACAGAAAAAAATTTTCTCGCGGTAATGTAGAAAGGTTCCAACTAATTTTTTTTTGTTTGAAACTGAAAGTGTTCTTCAATTTAGATTTTTTTCTAATTTATTGCTATATTTATTTATTCATTTATTTATTTTATACCACTTGCATATCCATACATTTATAATTATGCACGGAAAAATAACTTTATTCAAAACATTCGCTGCCTAAACAAATATCAGCTTTACCAGCGCCTGTGGATATGCAATAATATTTGTAGATTAAAAAACTTTACTTTGTTGGTTTGTGACTTGGATAAGCAGAAAGTAGAGGAAAGCAAAAAATACGGCGCAGATAGGAAAATGGTGCACAACAGCATTTTGTGAAGACTAAACAAAATTTACATAGTTTAAAAGATACATATCTAGACTAATATACAGTCCACAGCAATAGCCGCACTACGTTTAAGAAAATCGAACCAATGGATGACTTAGTTATTGGCACGCTCGAAAATATTGGAAGATACCATTTCGTTCAAGCAATAAATATCGATGTGGTCCAAATACATACATTGAAACTTACTTCAGAACACGTATCCTTAGCACTGAAGAATGAGAGGATAATTTCCACACCCCTGAAAGCTTGAGATACCCTCTTCCGGATTACCTGCTCATTTCGGCGCCTTTCAGACAGAGATATCTACTATTATAGAAGCGGGAAGCAAATCGAAGCCAGTTTTATTGATAAGGATATTTCCTTTATCAGCACAAAGCAAGCAGCAATTAAAGTACTGGGAGATGGCCAAACAGAGATAGTTTCTTTTGTCTTCTACGTGGGTCCCTAGTCGTACATTGACACATTGAGGGAAACCATTAGGCAGTTGAACTTGCTAGCCAAGGTATGATCAAGCAGATTCTTCTCCATAGAGTACGCATAGGCATGCTTTTTCCCACTTGTCAGCTGCTGCTCAAGAGATTTTCATATGAGCAGGCCGGGTCAATTTGGAATGAAATGTAGAAGAACATGTCCAAAGCAATAGGAGGTCTAGGGGGAGGAACGGAAGACCCATTTTCTATGCGACTAATTCCTGCCTCGAGCAGGACCACTCGCTCGATACTGCACGAGGTTTCCTTATAGTGCAAAATTTTCAGTCTATTTGCATGAGAAAATTATACATGCTTGAGAGCTGAAGCATGACACACTTACTTGCACAGAAGCACAGTCATAATCGCGAAGGACTCGCTGAGCCGTCACTGTCTTGACTCCCACATCACCATTGACAGCTAGAACTCTGAAGTCGTAGATAATTTCGTCGACCTAGGAACCGGCACTGCAATGTCAGGTTGGATATCCAAAGCAGAATCACTTTTGCGAACTGGCGCTAGTTAAGTCGGTATAGGTAATTTCAAAGTATGGTTCTTTCTCGACGAATAAAAACCAAACTCTACAAGTACAATACCTCAACTCTTCCGATCGGCTTTGTGACGCAGAGGCGTGGACGATATACAAATCTGATCTGTTGGCATTAGGTGTTCCACATAAAAATTTTGCATCCTATTTTTGGTCCTTTGTGAATTGATAACAGCCGAATACCGAACGACGACATTGACAAAGTTCAGCGCATTAAGATGCAGCGACTATGTTGCCTACTAAGTCATGTCGTCCAATATCGGTGATAACACAACGGTCTTTTTCAGGACAGTACTGCAATAGTTGACGAAAGTATATGGAGGAGAGGAAGATCTCGAGCTGCATTGGGAGACCCCAGTCAAACTAGCACAATTAGGAGCTGGATATTGTAGTCGATTAGACTCCTACCTATCCAGACTTCATCCCCATGTTTGTCTTGCATGCAATGAGACTACGCACGGCACTAAACCCTTCTTTGATGCCCCTTAAAACCTACTCATAGGACTCCCCTTTACCTCTGGTTCGAGCCTGTTGAAATAGCTTTGGACCTTCCGTTAGATGGCCTTGATAAGTTAGATTAGCCTCGGCTGCATCTAGGCGGGGTTGAATAACCGCTACAACAACAATGAAAACAGTGACTGATCTCTACTTCTTTTTGAAAGATCAAGTGTAAAAGGATCTGACGCGGCTTAAAATAATTTGTAGGCTCCCACCATTTCCTGCATAACCCCAAGAGCAACTCGAGCAGAAACTCAGCTGAAAATCGCTTCAGCAGCTATTAGAATCCTTGGCATCTTATTTAAGTATAAAGAATATGAATGTAGATTTCCTAAGGCTTATACAGAAATACTTTTGTCGAATTCTACTCCATTACCATGTATATACATATGCATATATATATATATTTTTTTTTTTTTGTTTTTCATAAACACCGTTAGTTTCAACACTCACTTGTCAATCGATCAACGCTCTCGAAGCGTCCTTCCACTTTCGAGCGTAATGAATCCAAATCGAATGGGGCAGCAAGGCCGTGATCAACGCTACGTGATTTACTCCTAGAAAGAGAGAAAAAGAGAAGCAGAGAGAAAAAAATAATGAATATAAGTCACAAGAAGCAAGAAAAATTAAAATTAGAAAAAAAAAATTTTAAAAAAATGGCGAGACATGTCATGAGATAGGTGAGATAACAGATAGTATGTATGTACATAAGTACTCGTATGTACTCGTATGTATATGTATGTATAGGTAAATGCGAGTGGAATACCCTTTTGAATGGCAACGGTAGTCATGTGCTACCGGTGAAGTAAATATTTATTATTTTTGCATAAATTTTGCGAGTTTAACTCTTTACTTTTTTAGACAGCGCGTATTAAAATTATTTTCAATTTACATACATACATACATATTAGTATAAAAGGGCTATCTTAAAGAAATATTACCCCGCATATATGGAGGCTGGCATGTGTAACGATTTATGAGCATTTAAATATATGGTAATTGTGTTTTTTTTTGTATTTTAATGTGGAAATAGCCAAAAGTGAAATTGCAACTACTGCTAATATACACATACATTCATATATACATCTTATTACCTTAAACCAGAAATTAATTTATAATATGTATATCCAGATCTATCTTGAAAAGGGCTCGGACGATTTCGATGTTGTTTATTACACGTGTAACAACGGCGTTACACGTGTAACAACGGTGTTATCTCCGAGAATAATCGCATAGGGTTTCCACCTCATTGAAATCAGTCGAGGTTTAATAAAATAGCACAATATGGGTGTCAAAGGATTTGTTATTGAAATTTCATTAATTTGGAGACACTTTCGAGAAGGGTTGCCACATAGATTTTAATTATTATATTAGAATAGCACATTAGCTATTTAGTTGATATAGCCGAAAGTTAATCGCATAGGGTTGCCACCTAATTGAAATTGGTTTGAAGTTTAATAAAATAGCACAATATGGGTGTCAAATGATTTGTAATTAAAATTTTATTAATTTGGAGATACTTTCAAAGAGGGTTGCCACTTTGTTTTTTTTATTATTTTAATAGAACAGCAGATCATCTCTAACAATTACGATCAAAATTGGTACACTCATCCCGTTTGGCATTCTAACGTAAGCTTCTTAGGTGTTATCTACGAGAATAATCGCATAGGGTTGCCACCTCATTGAAATCGGTTTGAAGTTTAATAGAATAGCACAATATGGGTGTCAAATGATTTTTTTATTGAAATTTCATTAATTTGGAGACACTTTCGAAAAGGGTTGCCACATAGATTTTAATTATTATATCAGAATAGCACATTAGCTATTTAGTTGATATAGCCGAAAGTTAATCGCACAGGGTTGCCCCCTCATCGAAATTAGTTTGAAGTATAATAAAATAGCTTACTATGGGTGTGAAATGATTTTTAATTGAAATTTCATTAATTTGGAGACATTTTCGAAAAGGGTTGCCGGACAGATTTTTCTTATTTTATTAGAATAGCACATCAGCTCTAAAAATTTCAATCAAAATTTGCACAAGTATACCGTTCAGCATTCTAACGTAAGCTACTTGGTGTAATCTCTGAAAATAGTTGTTCACAGAGTTGCCAGCTAATTGAAACCGGTTTGAAGTTTAATAAAATAGCACAATATGGGTGTCAAATGATTTGTAATTGAAATCTGATTAAGCTACTTGGGTGACATTTCGGAGAATATTCGCATAGTGTTACCACCTAATTGAAGTCGGTTTGAAATTCAATAAAGTAGCAGAATACGGGTATCAAATGATTGGTAATTGAAACTTAATGAATTTTGAGATATTTTCGAAAAGGGTTGCCACATATTTTATTCTTATTTTTATAACTATCAAAGTAATTTCGAATCAAGTAATTTTAACTTGAATGATGAAGGTCTATATAATAGGCCGTTGGTTATCTATCGCGCATGTTTATGAAATGTCAAAAACAAATAAATTATTTAGTTTTAATTCCAAATAGCTTTTATTTAATTAACAATAAAACATGCTGCATACGTGCAAAGCTCCGTCAGCCTGGCACTATATACTAATGTGTGCATAACCATGTTGCAGAAAAGGTGAGTAAATTGTTTATTTAATTTTTACTATATTTTATGATTCTCTTATCAATGCAACAACATTTTGATCGATTTATTGCTATTTTTTATTTTTTTTCTTCTTTTCAATTTTTATTTGCATTTATTTTTATTTATTATAAGTGTATTTACATATGCACATATATATATATATATATATATATATTTGCGATATTTTTCAACAACAGTTAGCAGTTAGATAAAACTGGTTAGCTACTGAATATGAGAACGCGATGTACATACATACACGTGTGTGTGCGGGCTGCTCCAATGTGCAGGGGCATTTAAGCGATAAAAATCTCATGAAAGATGCGCAATTTTAATCGTTTTTTAATTGATTCGTTTTGTCAGCTGCGCGCGTGCGCCAAACGACATTAGTCAACTATGTTTTTTATTTTTAATTTTTTTTTTTTATTTTTTGTTTTCATTTTGTTTAAAAGGTGTGATTTGTTGATAATGAATTTGTCGTGAATGCCGTCAAAATACTTTATTTCTATTTTAGAACGTGTAAATAACATATTTATACTTCAAATATTATAAAATAATTTTTTTTTTGCGCTGCCTTACTATGTATAGCATAAATAATTTATTCATTTGTTGAGGCATTTTTCGATTTAACGGTTATGGGCAATGAGTAGTGTTGTTTATAATTTTTGTCTAATCTTTTTAACCTCAAATTTCAATCACTGCCACACATTTTTTCAAATAAAAAATTTGTTGTTAGTTTTCGTTTTATTTTAATGATATTTTTTATTTTATTTTTGGAACTCATTACAGGGGTAGTCAGCTGGTGTGACAGCAGAAAAGTGCTTATTTATTAAAATAAATATGTGGCTACAAGTTAGCAGCGCTCTTTTAGACCGTTAAATATAACCATTGTGATACCAAGAAAACTTTCTTAGGGTATGATTCGCTATTCATCCGCTTGGATTTTCAAAGACTACCTAGAAGAACAGTTCCGAGATTGCGCAACCTCTCTCTATCTTTACTGTTTTTCACCTTACAGCTCTTGTAACATCTTCTAAAGCGAGTTCCTATCATTTCAGCGTGGTATTCTATGGCGGCCTTTCAAAAACTTTTGAGATCTGTTCTTTTTCTGGAAATTAACTCTCCGATATTGATAGTCCTCTCATGTCACCGTTGACAGTCATAACCTAAATTTCGTCTATCCACCAAACCAACATCAATACCCACAACAATATCAGCCTAGAAATCCAACAGCGACTACTTTAGACCGAGTGGGGAACTGAAAAGTAAAATCCTCTCTCAACGTAGAAAGACCAAACTCTCCAAGTCGCTCACCATTCCCGTTCTGCTATATGGTGCAGATGTATGGTCTATGAAGACATCAGACTTTTCCAGTGTAAAGTTTTACGAATGATTTATGGATACAGATGATAGAACGATGAGTTGTACGAGATATAGACGACATTGATATAGTTCTGTGAATTTAGAGACAGTGACAACTCTGGCTAGTACATATCGTTCGCAAGAGCGACAGCACTCCAGATTTGAATGCTGTATCGTCAGGTGGCGGAAGCATTTGAAGAAGAAGACGTCCACTACCTTGGAAAGATCAGGATAAGAAAAACGTGCCTTCAGGTGTCACCAATTGGTGCCGAACGGCTAAAAAAAAGAAACGAATGGTGGTGTGTGTGAAATTAAGATGAGCACAAATCAGAAAAAACTCCAAAATAAGAAGAAGAAGGAAAGGGAAGCTAGGAGATCGCCCAAGGGAATTCAAGTCAGCTATGATAAGCCAAATACTGTGGATAAGCCAAATACTCGGTGCTGTGGTGAAGTTGTCTTCTCTTCGGAGAGAGCACACCTGAAATGGGTGAAAGCAATAGTAAAAATGAGCAGGGCACAGCTCGGGGCGAGAGTTTCATAGCAGTTAACACCAGATACTAGAACAGTAACGAACAGACGCACGCGAAGGGGAGTTCAAAAGGTAGCTTTTAAGTGAGTCAGATAAGCTGGCCGGTCGGAAAGTGACAGAGAGCGACACGAGCAAGAATAAGCCTAAGTAGTTTACGCGGCGGTATGAAAGAAACCCTATCCACATCGAGGACAGCAAATATGGCCGGTGCTGAACCTTCAACACTAGCAGAAAGCCTAAGCGAAGTGTTCAAGCACTTGGTTCATTCCAGCAGGTCTTAAAAAGAGATGGGTCGTGCAGTGTGGATATCTATGGAAAAGGAAATCAGCCAACCCATGCCATCATTTGAAGACACAGGATGGTTAAAATATCAACGGAAATCCGTGAACCTTGCTCAGCAGATTAGTTTTGGGCGATCCAAAAAGTACCATCTCTTATCGATGGCTGCCTTGCAGGCTTATAAGAAACTTCTCGTATCTCTAAACTAAGTTTATACGCCAGTTCAATCACTTGTCAATCAGAAAAAAGCCAAGAAATTTCGCCTTGTTTTCAAGCTTCATTTAACACTGTTATATTTATTTATTTCCATTCGGAAGGCCCGGGTTCAAATCCTGGTATGACCAATATTAAAATTTTTAGAAAATTAATTTACATAATAAATGAAGTTAAATTTTCTAATTGCGGTCGGCACTCGGATGGGAATGGCAACCTCTTTGAGCGGTTACAAAGCGCCGATTATACATACATATATTAGTGAGAAGAACCTGTTCAAGCTTGCCTGAGACCACAGTGAGTAGCACATGCTCAAATCCCAAACGCAGTATTTATTCAATTTTAAAACCAACCAATTGAGACACCCTTTATTGCCAGCTTAAATATGCTCTCATGCTCGACATACCGACTCACAGCTTTTGCTTAGTTATTTTATGTGGATGCTTTGTGAATTAATACTCGCACACTTGAGCTCGATTTTTGTTGTTATTTTTGTTTTTTATAACGGCAGCTTCACGCATTTTGTTAAACGTATGTATGTATAGTTGTGCGTTGCTGTCTTTATTTCTGTCA